GAGAAGGCAGCGGGGAGGGGGGGGACACAGACATGTCAGTCCCGTCCCTGGTGAGCCCTGCGAGGGGGTTCCCAACCTGAGACTTCCAAAAAACCTCCCAAACCCCCCCATTTCCCTCCCCGCCCGACCACCAACTCACGTCCACTCCCAGCCCCGCTGCTTCAGGATGCTCTCCAGGTTGCTGCTGACGCTGGCCAGCCCTGTGGGGAGGGGCCCCCCATGAGTGGGGGGCCCACAGCCCCCAGGACCTGCCCACCCACTCTCCCTGTCCCCCCATACCCACCGGGCTCGAGGCCGAACTCCAGGTAGTCCTCACGGATGACCAGGGCCACCATGGCGAGGAGGAGGAAGAAGAAGGCGAAGGTGAGGCAGACGGAGCGCTCGCCCCCCTCCTCCGAGCGGAAGTAATGGCGCATCACCGTGAAGAAGACCTTGCTGCGGGCGAGGGGTGGCCGTCAAGGAAACCCTGGGCTTTGGGACCCCCCCCGAATGCCAGCAGCAGCCCCCTGCTCGTTAGCACATTGTAAACCATCCAGGAGCCATGGCCACCTTCTCCACGGGGAAGGCTCTCATTAGGCACCTTTACAGCTCATGGTGACTGGTTTATAAATCCGTAAATTTAGATTTTCCACCTCAACTAGCTTTTAATGGGGGGAAAAAAGAAGGACGGCGGGTTCCCTCGCCCACCCATTGGCAGCCCGGACCCGGCGGGTGGCAGCGATCGCACCCCGAAAGCCGGCGGAAGGATACATGGAGAAGACGACCGTCAGCAGGCACCAGAGCACCCCGATGTTCGTCTCCTTCTGGGGGTCCGCCAGGCAGTAGTAGCCCTCGGTGAAGACGTACACAGCCGTGGAGTAGACGGCAAAATCCACAAACCACTGGTACTCCAGGAAATAACGCAGCACTGGTGTGACAGAGGGACACGTCACCGTGCTGTGGGGACCCATGGGGGGGTCCCGGGCATGGCTGAGGGCCCCGGGTCCAGGGTGATGCTGGGCGGCGGGGCCCTGTGTGCAGTGGGTGCACGGGAAGGGTGCTGGAGCCGAGGCCGTGCGGGTTACCGAGAGCATCCACGGCGGCGATGGGGGTGGGGCACCAGGCGGGGC